ATCAGTCGTTAAGGTGGCACTTTCAAAAATTGAGAGTTGTGTAGTATGTCCAATAACCTGAAAACATTTCCAATTTATTTTAAAGTACCTGTGGTACAACGGTGTACAAGAAAAGTTTCCATTTTCAGCCAGACCACTACATCGGCAATCACATGATTCTGAATGCAGTTTATAATCTCTGAGAAATTTCCCTTTAGCCTTCCGAATTCCTTCAAGTGTTCCCAAAGCCTTCGTTACCGTTGGGAAATCTTCGGAAGACTTCTGAAATCTTCGAGTGATCTCCGGAATTATATCGTCGGCGATCTTCGGAATACCTCAGATGGCTGTCGGCAGCTGTTCGAAATGTTCGTAATTCTTTAAAATTTCGTAATTTGCAATCGACCTTAAATTGAGCCGGAGTGTAGATGCGTTTCACCTTGTTAAAAATGTTTGCAAATAATTTTATCATACAACTGTGTGTTCATGCGATTAATTCAGATGACATCCTTACCCTTTCAAGAGTAATTTTCATTGTTCTGGCATTAATTTTTCCATCTTTGAGGCTTTTTTTCCATATTTTGTTCCAAAATATGTTTTTTTCTGTTTCGCTACAGGCAAGCGGTCCTATCAATCTCACTTAACATGACGTTTTACTCGATCTGCGAAGAGTAAAATGTTGCGCGATGATTTTAATTCTAGCAAGACAACTTATTTGTTGTAGAGTGAATTTCGTTGCTGCCAAATATATTTTTTTCGTCTTACAGGCCATATAAATTTCCTGTACGCGTTTTGATCACAAAAATTTAGATGGGTGTTACCAAATGTAGTGCCACCGTAAAAACTCAACGTCGTTTATCCACTTCATCATGTCGACCAAAATGGTGGCTACCACAATTGAGATATCAGATTTGCCTACTGCCAAAGGTTAGCTATTGAAAAAAATATGTATCAGTCGTTCAAAACATTTCAATACCACGACTTCCTCGTACTAGTAAATATCTCGACAACTACCTTACAATGCGAGCTTCAAATATATTGCCACCATTTTGATCGAAAGTTTTGAAATTAAAATTCTTATCTCGTTGTCATCTCCAATGTTCAATAACTAGTAACTCCGCGAAGTTCAATCTTTGCTTTCGTTCGCCGGGACATACCACTGAATTCCATCTTCGCCGTTAGGCCATTTCCACTCCTTTAAAAGAAGACAATAAAGAGAAATATAAGCTTTTTTTTACTAGAGAGATGTATTTCCAAGATACACTATTACTACCAGGGCAAGCAGCGACCAAAGCTCGAATGAACCAGCTGCACGTGGTAACGGTTTTCAACTTCCCGGGAGCAACACGTAACGCAAATAACAGGAAATATCATACAAATATTAATTCAGCGCAAGTATCTTACAAACTTTCGCAAAAATTATTTATCAACCATTCAAGTAAACGTTTCATCTCAGTGATTGCAAAATTACGATTATCTAGTTTATGAACGAAGCTGTGTGTAGCTCGGCGAAGAAACTTGCGAGCGAAGGTTGCGACTTAACTTTAGGAAGGTAGAAATTGTTCCATTTAGTGAGGAGCAAAAGGATTAAAACGTACACTCACCAGTAGCATTTTAATAATTCTATCTCGCCCTGCTCTATCCTCTTCGAAGGAAGAACATAGCCAGATCTGACATCACCAGGAACACATAAATTTACGTCCTCACACTATGACCAAGTGTTTGGTTTGACGCAAATTTCACAAGTAGTCATGAATATTGATTACAAACCAGACCCAATCGCTGACAAAAACGTCGCAGCATACATGTTTTCACGACGTAGATCTTAATTCTTATGCAAAACAATTGTATACTTTAAAAACATCAATTTCGTTCCCGATCTTTGCATTTTTAGGCTTTATTAAGACAGTAATAGAAGAAATTAAATACATTCGTAAGGGGTGATTCACGCAACCGTCATACTTCGTTAAATCAAGAGAATATGAAACCTTTTCTGATAACGTTTTTTGTCGATATATTGCTGCGTGAAAAATCGATTTCGTTTAACATGGCGCAGGGGACAACTTTTAACGCAACATTTCGTTGCAGCAACATGTTGCAGGTTTTTGAAAGTGATTCACTTCAATCATTTAGTGTAACTTCGCCTTTACGCGGAGTTCAATTTTTCACGCGACAATGTTGGGCGAGAAATCGTCGCGTCCCTAAGCTAACACCACGTTAAAGTTCCTCTAATGTTGAAATGACATCAAGTTCCTTTATATTTAACGGGAATGGGGAGAGGAAGCTGGAGGAGAATTTAAACAGGGTTCTCAGTAGAAGCCGGCAGCTGGCGAAATTCCGCCGGTTGTTAAGACCAATGTAGCCGCCTGTTCCGGTTATTAAAATTTGCACATATCATTACAACAACAAATTAAGACTTAAGACTGAAACATTTCAAGAAGAAAATAGCATTTTGAAAAGGTGAAACAGCAGTACTTGATACGTCTAATTTTATGATCATGAACAACTCAATTTCCGTAACACTTTTCCCACCATGAAATCATGCATCAAATCGCATCTTTGGCAACCTACAATTTTGAAAATTTTCTGAGGGGAGGGGGAGGGGGGGACAACATTTCGTTGCGGCAACATGTCTCGTGTTCAACTGTTGCGCGAGAATTCGTCGTGTCCCTAAGCTAACACCACCTTAATTTTCCTCTAGTGCTGAAATAACATCAAAATCCTTATATTGAACCGGAGTAGGGGAGGAGAGTTTAAGTAAACATATTTTGCTAAGCAATCGAAAACAAAACTAGACGCGTTTCAAGAGCGTTTATTCAGGCTTCGTATCGCAATATCAAATCATATTCTACACAATTGAACACAACATAAACAAATGAAAGAATCAGGATATTTAACACAAGAGTTATGCTTAAATATATATACTATTCAAGTTGCTTCAATGGGTATTCTCTTCATCCAGTTGCATGTTGTTTCTTCCCTCACCTTCAAAGATCTGTTCTTGAAGGCTCTTTGCTAATTTTTCCACATCTGAGGTGTTTTTGAGAACTAACATGAATTTTGCTTATTATTTCGGCCAGCTTTCAAGTCATAGAACTTGTGGACCGACCCTTTCAGAGAACGTTCGCCATCTTTGTATGTGAGATGAGTTCATATGGCCATATGGCATGATTCTTTCCAAAGCTTTCTTCACAAAGCACAGCATTCTGTAATTTATGTCGTTCGCGCAGAGCGAGCACACGAGTAGCAGGTTGTCGCAATTCTCATCTCCAGGTTCCACGCTCTCCGCTTTAGTAATAGAGACTTTTAGAGCCGCGTTTACCGCAAACGGCAAACAGCTAAGGGTCACGTGATCCGACCAGAGCCAAACGGCACGTTTGAAGTTTTTTACTCAGGTTTTGAACGTCAAGAGGTAGGTTCTCACGTAAGTCATTTACCTCAAGCTTTATCGCCTGAATTTTTTTTTGCCACGTACAAATGTTGAAATCGAATAAAGTAGCCCCAGGAGCCATAATCGGGGACGGAGACCGTAAGTCTCGGGATTCGCGCGCACCTATGATATGGGACAATTTTTCTATTTTTAGAACAAATTGCG